AAAAGAATACATAGAAAAAGCATTGAAAGCCAGGATACCAGACTGCTCCTTTTACAAGGTTGCAAGTGTATTTTTAAGTTCTTGTGGTAAAAATGCATACAGACATGAATTAATACATAAGAAAATATCCCAATGCCCACCCCACTGTACTAGTGAACAATCAACTAATGAATATAACATAACAGTGAGGCATAACAAAGCAAGTGGGGAGAGAGACAATAATAGATGACACTACAATATTGCAGACCCCTGGAAGCCAAATGAAGGTGGAAATAACTGCTGAAAATATTTCCAAGGGAGGGTGGAATTTGACTTGAAGAAGGGGTCTTTACCCCAGTAGAGAAGAATATTTTTCAGACAGTCTCTTACAGCTTCCATAGGTTCTTTTTAGCTTTGTGAACCATCTAGTTTAGTTGGTTTGCATCATTACATGTTTCATCAGTGGCAGTTGGACATTGCATAGTCCTGTTCTATAGAGAGATAGATTTGCAGATATTTCTGCTCTGTTGGCTTCATAGTACTATTTAAGCTCCGGCTGGGTTCACGCATATGCGGAGCGATATATCGCATGTGATTCGCACTGGAACCCCACTGAATTCCTGTGCAAATCACATGCGAATTGTGTGCGGTGTGATTGGAGCCATACATTTTGTATGGCTCAAATCCCACCATATTCGCACCAAAGAGGTGCAGGAACCATTTTTTGGTCCGCACTAGAATCAAATCGCATGGATATTCACACCCATGCAATTCGATTCTGCACATCGCACCACATCTTGTGCACCGATTTTGGGGTGTTGTTAACTTAACATACAAACCCGCAGCAGTTTGCAAGAAAGGGGTGCAATTCTGATGTGGTGAGGAATTCACACAAAAAGCTCTGCGAATTCCACACCGCATCAGTGTGAACCCAGGCTCAGTGGTGTCCCTAGGGGGGTGTGGGCCGCACCGGGTGACACCATCACAGGGGGTGCAAGGAGCAGGATGCCAGCAGAGCTTCTGAGCTCTGTGAAGGTCCTGGCCAGTTATTGGGGTGATCCCGGATTCCCAGTACAGTGACAGCTGCCCCTGGTGTAGCGGTGAAAGGAGTATCCCGTGAACATATGTATCCCCTGAAGCAACTGCGCATGTGCCGGTTTCAGGCCGAAGAAGCCGATCGCCGATCTCCGACTTTAGCACAGAGCTGCCACAGTTAACCCCTTACAGGCTGCAAACCGCTGAAGCTGATCGCACGGATCACTATGGGTTGCAAGATCAGATAACCCTGTATAGGTTCAACTTATATGGGGTTAACTGATCTTGCAACCCATAGTGATCCGCGGGATCAGCTTCAGCGGTTTGCAGCCTGTAAGGGGATAACTGTGGCAGCTCTGTGCTAAAGTTGACTTCTTCGGCCTGAAACCGCCTCAGGGGTACATATATTCACAAAATACTCATTTTACTGCTACACTGGCACCGCTCCTTCCTCTCTGGAGGGTTGGCACCATGTGTTGCTGCACCAGGTGACACCAACCCTAGGGACGCCTCTGCCCAGGCTCAAGGAAGGCTTATCAGTACTTTTGGGTCTAGCGGATATCTCTAGCTGTTGCACATCAGCTTCATCTTGGGGAATGAAAGGCTGCTCCCTGTCTGGGATGCATATATTTTTCTTCAGACATGTTGAATTTGTGAGCAGTGCAGTTACATCTGTATACAGTCACAGGTCATGCAGATAGCAGGTGTTTTTGCAGAGCAGAAATCAAACCGTCTCTCACAGCACAGCAGTCCCTGCAGCAGATAATTCTAGAAACAACAGTCCCTTAAATTCCTCAAGTAAATCCAGTACACATAAAACTCCTATGCCTGCACAGCTTTTCAAACTGAAGAATGATTTGCTTCTAGTTAGTTAGAGCAAATACATAAAAAATGTTATAGAATGTAATCTGTTCCCCAGCTGCTTCTAAGCATAACTCAGAGTCTGTAATGCAGCATGTGCTCACACAAAGTGCAGACAAGACCATGTGCTTACTGTGGCACAGGTACAACTTCACAGCAGATGCAGCACAGTGTATTAAAGCTTTAGAAATCTGTCTGCTTACTGTTCTGCTTCAAATGCCGCTTTATTCATTAACATACATCTCTAGACCTAGTCTGTCCAGCCAGTATGGTCACATGCTGAATTGGCAGTATCCACAGACAGCTTAACTTTTCAATAAGACATAGAAGTTGAAAACAACAACATTTTACTACAGATAATTGCAATACAGACGGACCATGATGTGGAGAAGTGGGGAGGGTCTAGTTAGAGCTAAACTATGTAGCACTAAACTGGAGGGGTGGACACATAGGGAGAAACCAAAATCACATTAGTAAACAAGTTGTAGTGGCCCAAAACAGCCACTAGATGTCAGCATACTACAGAAAAATTATAACCTCATGCAGTTCAATACCAGGCATAAAAAATACAACACAGTGGGGTAGAAGAGTTGGCCTCTGTCGTCTGATCCTCATTTCTTGTGACTTACAGTTAACATTTACAAGCACATTATCCAAATGTCCTATAGTTCTTTGGTTCCCAAATAGACTCTTACCCTGTCCCTTCCGTGCATTTAGGGTTTCCCTATCCTATAAGAATAGAAAAGTTGGTTTTCCCGGAACACTGTACCACACAGGATGAGTTTTCCTCATGGGCAGTAAGGCTTATGGGGTACTGGACCTCATAAATAAACAATAAAAAACAAAAAGCAAATACAGTTGCCGGTCATCGGCTGCACTTTCCTCATGCTGTCACAGCATGAGGAAAGTACTGCTGATTACCGGCAAATGACACAGAGGACATCTGCACTGATCATCAGGGCACTAATGATCAGTGCCCTGATGATCAGTGCCCAGCAGTGCTGCCCAGCAGTGCCTCCCACCAGTGCCCAGCAGTGCCACCCATTAGTTTCTGCCCATCAGTCCAGTCAGTGCCAGTCAGTGCTGCCAGACAGTGCTGTCCATCAGTTTCACCAGTCAGCACCTCCCATCAGTATCGCCCACAAGTGCCCATCAATGCCACCTATCAGTGCCCATCAGTGCCACCTATCAGTGTCCATCATTGCTGCATATTAGTGCAGCATCATCAGTGCCTCCTCATCAATGACCACCTGTGCCACCTCATCAGTGCAGCCTATTAGTGCCCATCAGTGCTGCCTATCCATGCCATCTCATCAGTGCCCATCAGTGCCCATAAGTGCTACCTATCAGTGCAGACTCACCAACACACATCAGTGAAGGAGAAAAATTACCTGCTTGAAAATTTTTATAATAGAAACAAAGAAAAACTTTTTTTTTTTTATTTTTTGCTCTTTTTTTGTGCAAAAAATAAAACATCCAGTGGCAATTAAGTACCACCAAATGAAAGCTCTAACATGGGGAGAAGATGCCTTGCATTCCAGGCATGCAGCCTGGTTGGCCAAGAAAGGAAGGGGCAGAGAGAACGTTTTGCCCCTCCTTAAGCATACCAAGCCAATGCCTTGAACATGGGGAGGGTACTCACTGGGAAGGCACCTTGTTCCCATGTTGATGGGGACAAGGGCCTCATCCCCAGCTACTAAATGTTACCAAGCTGGCCAGCAGACATCATTGACCAAATATCATCATGCAGGATTCCCAGTCACTTTGCCTATAAAGAGAAGCATACCAGGGACTGTAACTACTGAAGACCACTCCCTTTTAAACAGTACTTTTAAAAAAAATGTTTAGCATTGGTACGTGTCCACATGGCAGTGCCAAGCTTTCTATGCCCTTTGTTTTCTAAAATTGTGCATATTGGCTTAGAAAGAGGTCAGACAAAATTACAAGATTTGGGTCATATAGACATGAATGGGTCTTAGTTCTATGTCCAGGGTTTGCTCATTTTGTGAAGTGTTTGGTGAATGTCCACAGCGAACCCAACAACCCAGACAACTTAGCTATTTGATAACACATAATTTGAATCCAATGAAGCTTTACTTAAGAAAAGAGCAATACAAAGGATCTTTTCCAATATATTTTCTTTCCTAAGTTCTGTCTCTGTGATAAAAGTGAAACTGAATTGAGCTACCATAAACAAAGAAGGAGTGTTGGGGTAGGGATGGACTCAAAACAGAGGCAAAACAGGACAGGGAAACAGCAAAACATATCAAGGCAATATACCAAGGCACAACATAAAGAATCTGCTGTGGCAGCACACTCCCCATATGGTATAAGTAAATACCATTATTTAACCACTTGCCCTCCAGAGGATTTACCCCACCCCCCCCCTCCTTCTTGACCAGGCCATTTTTTTGCGATATGGCGCTATGTTACTTTAATTGACAATTGTGCAGTCATGCAATGCTGCACCCTGATGAAATTTATGTCCTTTTTTCCCCACAAATAGAGTAATATTTCAGTGGTATTTGATCCCCCCTGCATTTTTTATTTTATGCACTATAAAAAAAATGACAATTTGAAAAAAAAAACAATACTTTTTACTTTTTTCTATTAAACATGTCCAGTAAAAAAAATTAAAAAATCTAATTTTGTCATAAATTTAGTCCAAAATGTATTCTGCTACATGTCTTTGCTAAACAAAAATCCCAATATGTGTAAATTAATTGGTTTACATGAAAGTTATAGAGTCTACACATGGCAGTATAGATACTGGAATTTTTTTTTTGTTATGTACTAGTAATGGCGGCAATCAGCGACTTATAGCGGGACTGCGGTGGGCATTCTGACACTGTGGGGGGAACTGACTGTCACCGACATCCCCAGTGACATCAATACAGTGATGTGTGCTATTAAAAAGCACTGACACTGTACTAATGACACTGGGCAGGAAGGGGTTAACATCTGGGGCAATCAAAGGGTTAACTGTGTGCTGTGTGTGTTTTACTGTGTGCTGTGTGTGTGCTTTACTGTGTAAGCACATTGCTTTGTATGGCTCTGCTATGCAGAGCCATACAAAGCAATGTGCAGGAGCTGACAGAGGAGAGATCTGTATTGTTTACATACAGGTCTCTCCCCCGTCAGTGATACACAGCGATCACCGGGTGCCGGCGGGAAATCAGCAGCTGGAATCTGGTGATCGACAGGTGAGGCCGCCAATGTTTGCGTGATTTTGCACACCCCTGCCGCCCTCTAGCAGAATTTCTGCTACAGGGCAATGGGAAAGTGGTTACTAATATAATGCAATACATTATGACAACATGATAACATAAATATGTGGGACACTGCACTCTTCTCTTGAAATTGTTTTTTTCACTATTTCACTGATTACATTTTAAACATAACAGAAAATTACGTGCATGAGTGTGCATGACATGTGCAGGGTATCGCCTGGACCTGGACAACATAAAAGAGAAGAGAAAACATGTACAATATTTACACACTTAGATGAGTCTTGAACTTAGCACTTCCTGAAACAGTCCCTAAAGACATCAGGTTTCTTCTCCAAAATTGGGAGAGTTTGCTAAATCCCTTATAGATAGAAGTAGGTTAATCTCTGTAGCTGATTTCATAAACTTATTAACAAGTCTTTGCTTCCAGCTTGTGAAGAAAAGGATGTCCTTTTGTTGTTATCAAGGTTCTTAGTGTGATGCTTGAGCTTTCAGCTGTATCAGCTTGGGTCTTGACTGATGAATCCATAGCTAATCTATAGATAATCTATAGCTAATCTAACTTGCTACTCGTTGTTAAAAATAATGGCACTGGATGTATAAATGCACATAAAACAAGGGGGGAGAAAAACAAAAAAGAAGAGCAGCTATCTAGTCCTTGAAAACCAACGTGATCTGTAAGATAATTAATCGGTTAGAACAGCGCTCCTCACCAAATTAATATCTATTGATACAAACCGAATACAAACTGAATACAGTCTGCATCAATATTAGTGCAAAAAAAAGAAAAAAAAAACCTATGTAAAATCTCATCAATAAATAAATTGTGAAAGGTGAAATAATACTTTGTGCAAGATCTAAAAATCATATCCAATAAATCATGCATATATGAAAGTGAACAAGTGACTATGTAAAATCAATATTGGTAAATAAATAATCATACAAATAAATCAGTGTCCAAAATGTCCATAACAAATGAGAAATAAAAAATTATAAAATATATTTATATACTGTATATATATATTATATATATTCTTAAGAATTCTTCTCGTTAAACCTTCTGTGTTGTGCAACACCAGCACCATGTGAAATCCACCACCAAACAAAATTAATAAACTCACCAGAGCTCCATGCTGGTAAAATTATAAACCAGCTTAAACCGCTTTGGCTCTAAGAGCAACGATCTGCAGAGGCACTCGCTGACTATTGCAACTCCTTAATCGGATCTTCATATACTCAAATGGAACCATAGAGAAGGAAGGGAAAGCTACATAGCATAAAACCATCCAGGTATTTTATTGTATTAAAAGCTTTAGGTCACACTCACAATAGAAAGTGTCACAGCCGACACTAGCATATAACGTATAGACAAAACAGCCCTTCCACTCCTGGAGGACGTTGAATGACAAAATGCGCAGGGTGGAGCTTTGGAGGTGACGTCACCACCTTTGGGTCAGCTGCTGGTGATAGATTCAGACCGGAGCTGACCTGTTGTTTTGTCTATGCATTATATGCTAGTGTCAGCTGTGGCACTTTTCTGCACTAATATTGATGCAGACCGTATTCTGTTTGTATCAATAGAGATTAATTTGGTGAGGAGCGCTGTTCTAATCGATTAAGTTGCAGATTAGGCCAAGATACCTCTGACAGGTACATGAATCAGCCACAAGCACTGACAATTTGGTGCAGTAGCCAATGGAAATCCAAAGTGTGTCTATGGCAACCTTTATGAATTCCCCTCATGTGCTTTGTGAGGCACGGGTAAAACGTCACAGCTGATCATAGTATGTAAATTACTTTAGAAATCTGACATCTTACTGCTCTGTATCAAAATGTCATTTTATGCAATGATATGCCTTCTTAGAACAGTCTGAATCAGCACTTGCCGATTCAGCAAAAAAACACAAACAGCTTAACTCTTCAATAAGACACAGTTTAAGTTTAATTCAACATGATTTTACTCCAGGGTACAATCAAAACAAAGTTTATTGAAGACATAAACTTTCCTAAGCCAGCAATGAAGGTGGAACTAAACAAGGAAAGCATAAAAGAGCAAAAAGTATCTATCTAGGGACTATACTAACTAGAGAAAAAAGCAGCAGGGGGATACAAGGGGATATACCAATATTTGGGGCATTATTTGTCCCATTGACGGCAACAATGGGATACTATTCCTTTCACTGACACCAGGGATGGGATACTATTCCTCCTAGTGATACCAACAATTGCCACTATTCCTCCCACCAAAATCAATGATGGGGCAGTATTCTTCCACCTACTGACCACATGTGCTATGTAATATTCTTACTCTCACTGACAACCAAGCCTGAGGTATTATTTAATTCCATTGATGCTGGGGAATTTTCTACTCCCTCTGGCAACAGTCCAGCCCTTCTAAAGTGTGAAGGACAGTAATCTAAATCTTTGTTTAGAACATTTGGAGACCCCTGCTTTATAGCAATAATTAAATGAAAAACTGAGATACTAGGAAGGTAAGTTGTGTGTTAAATTGACTTAAATACAAAACTATTTTTTTTAGTTTTGAATAGAGGGGTGAGGGATTAGAAATTCTGCCAGCATTATTTTTCAAATTTTTTATGGTACATTTTATTTGTGCATATATTTGATTTTTGATGTAGCAAAATATATATATTCCAATGCAAATGTTATGATAGTTATTAATGTAAAACTGTTTTTAATATTTTTATAGATACTGTATTTATATATGTGCGTGCATTGAACAATGGAATTGAATATGTTTGAATAATGAAGGGGTTAATGATAATGTGGCAATAGTTAATTAATATTTCTTTATAATGGGTTATGGGTAGTGGCTTTTTCATTCTTTGAGAAAGCACTGTGCCTAGCACAAAACATATCAGCATAGAACCTGTTCCTGTTGGCTATTTTATTAACTAAAGTTTGGGTGCCAAACCAGAACCTAACTGAAGTCAATGGGAGTCGAATGTTGAATGCAGTAATTACCATATTCTAGACGACAAATATGTTAGGGATTTAAAAAAAATGTCATGAGAAAGGAGATGAGTTGGGGGCTAGTTTTTGCCTTGGGTTACATATAAGAAAGCAAAACTTTAAAAAAATCAATTTGGCCAAGATTTTAGTATTGTCTCCAGAAGATTTTATCCCCTTCATGACCAGGGCATGTTTTGGTATTCAGTACTGCGCTGAACTTGTAATTCCGTGGGTATACAATAATGTACACAATTTCAATTTTTATCATTTTTTTCTCACAAATAGAGCTTTCTTTTGGTGGTATTTGACAACCACTGTTTTTTTTTTTTATTTTTTTATGATATAAATGAAAAAAGCCCAAAACTAAAGAAAAAAAATATTTTTTACTTTCTGTTATAAAAAAACATATCCAATAAAATCATATTTTCATAATAAATTTAGGCCAAAATTTATTCTGCTACATGTCTTTGGTAAAAAAAATCCCAATAAGTGCATATTAATTGGTTTGCGTGAAAGCTATAGAGCTTACAAGCTATGGTATATATACAGTATATATTTGAAAATTGATCATTTCTGATGTACTGACAATGTACCTCATTTCTTGAGGCCCTAAAACACCAGGACAGTACAAATTCTCCCAAAACAACCCCTTTTTTGAAAGTAGACAGAGGCATTTTGTAAGAGGCATGGCAAGTTTCTTGAAGTTGTAATTTTTTTACACAATTTTATTGAAAATGAAGAACTGTAATAATATTTTTTTCACAGTGTTTTTTTTTCATACTGTCTCTAGTGCAGTACATTGGTGTGACATTTTTTTTTTTTTACTTTTTCTCATTTTATTACAATTTTTTTTACATACTTCCATCAGAGTAGTTCAATGTCATCACAGCAACACTGTACTACTCTGAGGGGGTGATCAGAGTTTTTTTTTACCACTTTGTTTGCTGTTACAATGAAGATCACATTCATGGCAGCTATGATCTATAGTGATCTGTGATTGGCTATAGCTAATCACATGGTACAGGGTGCTGTGATTGGTCCAGGTACCATGTAACAGCTGTGGGCCAACCACAGCCTAGGAAACACAGCTGTTATGAATTCATTCAACACAGCTTTGTTTACACTGTCATCATGCTGTCTTCCACCACTTCTCCCTCTCATTAATAATTACCCATAGAGACCTACACCACTTTAAACCCTTTTCTTCTCCACTGTGCAATTGACCACCTCTATGATAATATCTCACTCCTGTCCTGCCCCAATCCAGCTACTTCGGTCTACAATAGATCCCTGTCCTCCACCCTGGATGAGCTCGCCCCTCTCACTACAAACAGAATAAGACCTCAAACTCTCAAAAAATGTAGCAGCACTCTCGAGCATCTGTGGCGTAAGATGAAGTCTCACAAAGATTTCAACAAATATAAAACTGCCCTCCAAAAATGCAATTCTTGCCTCCACACTGCTAAGCAGAAGACTTATTTTATCACTATCACTTTCTCATCCAGTCCCCGTCAACTCTTCTCTACCTTTAACTCTCTACCATCTCCACTCACTAACTCACTCACTGCCCAGGAGATCGCCAAATACAATTTGTGATGAAATCTCTACTCTACAGATATCCCCCCACTTAACACCCCATGTCTATAGGTACACTCAGCACTTCCCTCATTCAGCCCTGGTACTCTAGATGAGATTGCTAAACTTTTTTCTAACACCCACCTAACACATGTCCCCTGGATCCTATTCCCTCTCAAATACTGTGGTCCCCCTCTGGCTCTATCCTACACTTACTAACACATCTTTAATCTCTCCCTCTCTTCTGGCATCCTCTCTAAATACATGCACTAGTCACCCCCATACTTAAAGAGCCTTCCTTGGACCCTGCCAATCTTAACAACCTACTCCCCATCTCGTTGCTCCTCTCTTCCTCCAAACTCCTAGGACGCCTAGTCTACAACCAACTGACTGATCACATCATTAAGAATAACATTCTTGAACCCCTTCAGTCTAAATTTCGCGCTTAACACTCCC